TACTAATGACTAGAGATGGTACTAATGACTAGAGATGGTACTAATGACTAGAGATGGTACTAATGACTAGAGGTGGTATTAATGACTGTAGAGGTGGTACTAATGACTAGAGGTGGTACTAATGACTAGAGGTGGTACTAATGGCTAGAGGTGGTACTAATGGCTAGAGGTGGGTGGTACTAATGACTAGAGGTGGGTGGTACTAATGACTAGAGGTGGGTGGTACTAATGACTAGAGGTGGGTGGTACTAATGACTAGAGGTGGTACCAATGTCTCCTCTGTCCTCCACAGCAGCCATGGTGGGCGAACGCCGCAACGGGAACCTGCTGGTCCAGCTGGGGCCTAAGCTGCAGGCGTACCCCGAGGAGCTGATCCGCCAGCGCCGCACCCATGATGGGCAGACAGAGTATCTGATCCGCTGGTGCCTGGTTGTTATCGACGATGGGTCCAGCTCTGGGAGTGTACCCATCGAGGCCATCAAAGCAGGTATCGACGTCTCTGGAGTGGATGGGTCTGGTGGCTCCACATCTGGAGAAGCTAAACCTGAGAACATCCTGATGTGGATGTCGATGGAGGATGTGTATGCCAACTGTCCCACCCTGCTGGGCAAGAGGAAGACGGACCTACAGCGCCCCCTGCAGGAGCAGCAGCAGGAAGGTGAAACAGCAGACAGAGGCCCCGGCGGCAGCGCTGAGTTCCCAGCAGACATCACCTTCGATGAGATCGAGCTGTCAGACATGAAGCAGGACGTGAAGAACCTGGTGTGTCGAGCCCGCAAACAGATGGCCAAGAAGAGGGACTTCTCCATCAACATCATGCACACCATCCACGTGCTGAGTGCCTACGCCAGCATCGGCTCATTGGTCGGCGTCTTCAAGGAGACCGGCGCCCTGAACCTGCTGATGGAGCTGCTGTGTAACAAGGAGACGCAGACGAGACGCAGCGCTGGCAAGATGCTGCGAGCGCTGGCTTCACATGACGCAGGTACGCAGACACAACGAGGCTGTGACACAGAGCTAAACAAGGTTCTGACACAGAGCTAAACGAGGTTCTGACACAGAGCTAAACGAGGTTCAATCTGACACAGAGCTAAACGAGGTTCAATCTGACACAGACTTAAACGAGGCTGTGACACAGACTTAAACGAGGCTGTGACACAGAATTAAACGAGGTTCTGACACAGAGCTAAACAAGGTTCTGACACAGAGCTAAACGAGGTTCAATCAGACACAGAGCTAAACGAGGTTCAATCTGACACAGACTTAAACGAGGCTGTGACACAGAATTAAACGAGGTTCTGACACAGAGCTAAACAAGGTTCTGACACAGAGCTAAATGAGGCTGTGACACTGAGCTAAACGAGGCTGTGACAGAGAGCTAAACAAGGCTGTGACACAGAGCTGAACGAGGCTGTGACACAGAGCTAAACGAGGCTGTGACACAGAGCTAAACAAGGCTGTGACAGAGAGCTAAACAAGGCTGTGACAGAGTTAAACAAGGCTGTGACACAGAGCTAAACGAGGCTGTGACACAGAGCTAAACGAGGCTGTGACACAGAGCTGAACGAGGCTGTGACACAGAGCTAAACGAGGCTGTGACACAGAGCTAAACAAGGCTGTGACAGAGAGCTAAAC